AAGAATTAGATATTTTATGTCGACGATTACTTGAATATAATGAAGAAACTTTTGGTAAATTTATGCGAGAAATTACTTTAGAGCATGAAAAGCGGGTTAATGAAAATAAGAAATTGCGATATGAGGTTGAAGAAAAGAGGATAGAATTGCAAGAGGTGGAAAAATCCCTAAAATATCTGAAATCATGTACTTATTAGAAATTTCAAGGGGTTGATCACGGAACCCAATCTAATATTAGCTCTAGCACCGGTTTTTTGCTTAATAGGAAGTAGATTGATTCATCAGAAATAAACAGGCATTTCTTTGCATTGAGAACTAGTAAATTGGAACAGTGATGTGTAATTTCATATATCGTTTTATCAGTGATATAAATATATTGAAAACTAAGATTCTGAATGTTTGAACATGAACGGACTATATCGCATATAGCATTATCTGTAATTTTGTAACAGGAAGTAAGAATAAGCTTTTGCAGGTTTCAATTTAACTGTGCAATTTTTTTGATTGATTTATCGGTTATCCATCCACAGTCTTTGAGAAAATAATTTCGCATATCTGGACAGCCAGTTGCAATCGCACATATAGCTTCATCCATAATTATTTCATTAAACAACAAATCCAGGTGTTGAAGATTTACACATGAGCGTGCAATTGCACAAATTGATTCATCATTAATAAAAGGTTGTCCATTGAGGTTTAAATATACTAGATTGGGACAAGATCGTGCTATTTCAATCACAGTTGCACTGGAAATGTTACTATCTCTATACAAAGAAGCGAGACTTATGTATTTTAAATTTGGACAAGATTGTGTTATTTCACTAACATATCTATCAGTAATAGCTGTACATGCATCAAGACTCAGATGTAGTAGCTTCGGACAATATTTTGCAATTTCTATAATTGGTATATTACTAAAACCATAACTTCGATCAAGAATAAGAAAGTTTATATTCGGACATGAGCACAAAATTTCACTAAGTAATGTATCCGAGATTTTTAAACCCGCCAATTTGAGATACACCACCTTTGAGCAATAGAGAGGTTTTGTCTTTTCACATATAACTCTTTTAAACTTTCTTAATTGCCAATAAAGAGGTCCAGATATATTTTTATTACATCGGTTCTGCCGATAACCTTCTATGGAATACTCAATATGTCTCCATAGAATTGGAGCACTACAGTGATACCAAAGGCGATTGACAAATAAAGCAGGATAGAGCGCTTTATCCTTAACCAAGAAACTAAATATATTTTCAAGTAACTCCGGAATAATAAGAGGGTGAGTCATATTTAGTTCTTTATATAAACACAGTTTGTACAAAAGATTAAAAATTCCTTGAATATCTGAAATCCCGCTCTATTCATTAGGACTTTCAAGAATTTTATCCCAACCAATTCGTATTCTGTGTGGATGTTCAGGAGGTACACTTAGATCGAAGACGATAAATTTCTGTTCACATAGATACTTATTAACAATTTTATATACATTGCGCCAGTCGTTAACATATAAACGAAGTATTCTGCTTAACTCATCTGAGGTACAAGAGCCGTTAAAAATTACAACATATTTTAAGTTTTTCCTTATTAGTCCCGGGCAGTCAAAATAGCTTTGTGAAACATACATTGAAGAAACATTGGAATGGCGCCCCTCAGTAAAATAGGGTATAATCTTCTCCTGGATTTTTTTCGGTTCAGTACATACATCCTCAAATATAGCTACAGTGCCTCTTTCTGGAGAAAATGAATCCAGCTTTGGAATTTTATCAGGCTTCATAGCCCGGAATGTAATATCTTCACGATGTGGCTCTGGACTATTAGCAATTATTTGATATACTGATTTAAGATACATATATTTGGGTTCCTTGAGATGGTGTCCAATAAGTACGACATCATCACATTTAATATATCTAACACCCCCTTTTTTACCGTTAAACATTCTATATAGTTTATTCCCAGACAAAAGACGAACAACTTCTCTAGATTTTCCTGAGTTAGTTCGACCGCAGATTAAGCATGTGAAGGGCCATTGAGGTGTACTGTTTTTTGAGTTATATTTTTCTGGATTCTTGTATTCGTCTATATTTAGAACAAGCTTCTCGAGTGGATCAAGCTTTTTTATTTTCATTTTAATCGAGATAAGTCACTAATTATTATATCGAAAAAATATTGATCCTTATTGTTATATATATTCACCCGATTTTTTATTCTATGTAGTCTAATAAATGCGACATAGTAAATCACTTAAGGCTCTCTAATATCAATGCGTGGATTGCTAGTCATAAGAGCATCGATTGCCTCATCAGTAACAGAGTAACATTTTTTGAGATCAAGACTACGCAGGTTCTTACATGATCGAATAATTTCATGAATTGATATATCACTAATAAAGCAATTTAGAAGAAGTAGCACTTCTAGTCTTGGGCATGATCTTGCTATTTCACAGATAGACTCGTCGGTTATATAACACCAATCCAGATTGAGGCTTCGGATACTTGGGCACGATTGTGCAATTTTTTTAACTGATATATCACTTACCCCACAACTCTCAAAAGAAAAATCTATAATATTTCGGCATGAAGTAGCGATCGCACAAACCCCCACATCGGAAATACCTCCACAAGACATTAGTCTCAAATGTTGGAGTCCAGGACAGGAATACGCTACTGCTTTTAATGTCTCATCTGTAATACTGCAACACCACAAACTAAGATAACGTAATTTGGGACAGGAATGTGCGATATCAATCATAGATATATCGGTGATATGTTTATTGTGTCCCAGACTGAGATAGTTTAAGTTTGGACACGAATCGGCGATTTTGCTTAAAGATTTATCAGAGAGTTTAGAAGAACCGAGACTTAGATATTCCAGATTTCGGATTGCAATTCCACAAAGTATTCTGTCATCAATATATATAAATTTACCAGAGACCCCCTTTTTAGTGTTGTTAAAATCAAATTCTAAATGTTTTAGATTAGGCCACATTTTCAAAGAATCTGCAGTTGATTCATAAGAAAAACCATTACAGCCGTTAAGAATGAGACATTTCAATCCGGAGGTTTCGCAAGCAATCTTGATTAAGGTTCGATCTGAAATTTTACATTCGTGAAGAATGAGTCGCAATAGCTTAGAATGGTAAAGAGGTTTTTGTTTCCCACGCATCACTTTCTTGAATTTTTCGAATTGTACTAGATTTCTTTTATCAAACACCGCACAACGCCAGATAATCGGCCCTGCACATGAATACCAAAATTTATTGACGAATAAGGTCGGATACAATGATCTATCTTCAGCTAAATTCAAGAAAATTTCGGTTAATATTTCAGGTAAGTTTAGTGGATGTAATTTAACCACAAAGTGACTGCTTCTAGCAATATATGACATTGGTATTTAAATTTACGAATTTATTCTATATTTGATAAATAACCTTTTTCGATCAATTTACTCTTTATATATATTAATAAATCACAGTCAAACGGGATTTCGATGAGACATATACCTTGCTCCTTGCATATATCCCGCTTTTTTTGATCTCTGATTTTTTGTTGTTCCAAGTCTATCTTGCCTCGCTTATGGAACATTGGATTCTCGGAAAAATGTTGAGGTCCCTGGAATTCGTATGCCAATTTTAATTCTTCATTATATCCATCTAATTGCATCCCATTCAAAAATGACGGTTTACAAGATGGAAATTTTTTACCTAACAAATCTTCGAAAATATACCTCGCGGATCTCTCACCTTTATTATGATGACATAGGGGACACCATTCGAATTTCCGCTCTAAAACTTCTAATGGATACTCAAACTGATGCTTCCCGTTTTCACAGGACCAGAGATATACATCGAAACCATTTATTTGGCCAGTTTTACCACGACATTCTCCGCCACGCCTCTCAGCATATGCAACGGCTTTAGACATTTTATTAATAATACGAACGAAATTAATAGATCTGGAACGAGTGTTTTCTTCCAATATACTCTGGGGTGGATACTGAAGCGTATCGATATTCACATATAAGAGTTCCTCTCTCACAAATCCACGCTTTGGAGCATATTCATCGTCATCATCTCCGAGATAATATAAAACTGGTTCATTTTTCGTTACTACAATTTTTCGAATTTTATGAATGCTTGGACTGAATGTGGGATCCGTGGCTCTTTTCTGGTTTTCCATACCTCCTTCCCACTCCGCATTAGCAAGCAGGTAACGAACTGTATCACCCTTCTTTAACTTATTCTCCTCATTTTTCCCAACAGGACGTTTATATTTTGTGGATGGCCGAGATTCAACCTTTTCTAATTTGATGGCTTTTATTGGTGCCAACCCCCACTTCGAGGATCCAGGAGCTCTAATAAGACGTGTTGGATAATTATTTAGGTAATCGATAACTTCTGGTAAATACTTGACCCACTCTCTTATTAATTTATGATCTTTAGATATTGATTCGACAGCATACTGGATTTTATAAAGCATCTCTGCTAACGTCTTATTGAATCGTTCTACAAGAGCTAATCCACGATGACTATAAGCACCAATTACTCGAATTGTGACATTATGCGTTTCCATTAATCGAGCAGTTTCACCAATGAATTCTTTACCACCGTCACATTGTAGAAGTGTCGGGTATGTAAGAGGGTTATTGGGATCATCATAAATTTTCCTGAATGCTTTTGCAACCTCCGAACTTTTCTTCGATGTGAGAGGAACGCTCTCTTTGTACCTGCTAGACACGTCTATTATATTAAGCACCGCTATCCATTTTTTACCTTTATAATGATCATGCGTAAGAAATAGGAGGTCGCACTGATGTACACAATTTGGTTTTTGAATTTTACCATAACTAACTCGTGGAGTATCTTTTGGCGATGGTGCGTATTTTTGCCATTCATTCTGGTTATGCAACCATTCACGAACCTTTTTATATGGGAAATTATATCCTTCTTTTTTACATGCATCTCTTAATGCTTTTGCATTGGAGAAAAAACCAGTAGGTTGGTAAAAAAGCAATTTACAGATTAAGTTTAATTCCTCATCTGGATCGATTCTGATAATAGGCTTGCTCAATTTACTCATTTTCGATATTATTCATTATACTAAAAATTATGTTTAGCAAAGTCAGAGATAAGTCAAGAGACAAAGTCTCCTTTCTATGAAAGATATAATATGCCGTAAAAAATAACCATGGCATTCCATAGATCCCGACCCCCTAATCGATCAACTCATAGATCAGCTACGGATAAAGAACTCGAGCTAGAACAAATTAACCAAGAACTCCAGGAGATATTGCAATCAGAGGTAGCCATCAACAAATCGAATGAGAAATATATAAAGGATCTGGAATGTAAGTACACCCGGTGTGAGAAAGAAATCCAATCTCTTAATAAAGAACTGGAACGGCTCGAGAACGCTTCGGAGAAAGAAAAGGCGGAGTTGAGATCGGAGATATCGTCCCTTAAAAGAAGCTTATATCAAGCTAAAAAGGAAATCCGAGATAAGGTATCCTATACCGATAATATAGAGAAGCAATTACAAGAATCAGAAGAGCGGGTTCAAAATTTAAGGCATAGGTTTAAAGTTATTTCTTCTCGAAGAAGCTCTCCAAGTTTATATAATTCAGAAGAGGAAGATACAGATATGGCACATATAGACCCCTTTATAAATATCACTAGAGGATTAAATCGACTTGAAAACCATTTCAC